AATGAAAGAAGACCTAAATAAATAGATATAGACTGTTCATGGATTAGAAAACTAAATATTAAGATGTCAACTCACCTCAAAATAATCTATAAATGCTATCTCAATAAAACTCCAAACCTAACCTTGCTTTTTATAGAAATTGATAACCTGATTCAAAACTGTGTTTGGATATGCAAAATATCTAGATGGCCAAACCAACACTGAAGTAGCACAATATACTATCTGATTTCAAGACTTATAAAGCTACAGTAACCAAAGCAGTATGATCTTGTCATAAGGAGAGATTAAAGCTTAATGTAACAAAACGGTCTAGANTTTTATAGAAATTGATAATCTGATTCAAAACTGTGTTTGGATATGCAAAATATCTAGATGGCCAAACCAACACTGAAGTAGCACAATATACTATCTGATTTCAAGACTTATAAAGCTACAGTAACCAAAGCAGTATGATCTTGTCATAAGGAGAGATTAAAGCTTAATGTAACAGAACGGTCTAGAAATTGACCCATATAGAGGCAATAGGTCTTCCCTGTAGCTCAAAGGGAATCTGCCTGCAATGCAGGAGACCCAGGTTTGTTCCTCGGGTCAGGAAGATCCTCTGGATAAGGGAACAGCAATCAGCTCCAGTATTCTTGCCTGGAGAATCCCATGGAAAGAGGAGCCAGGTGAACTATAGTCCATGGGATCGAAAAGAGTCAGACTCAACTGAGCAACTAAAACTACTACTATACTATAACACTACTACTACTATAGAGGCAGTAGATTTTCAACAAAACTGTCAAGGTAATTCAGTGATGAAAGGATATTCTTTTCAAAAACAAGTCCTGGTAAAACCAGATATCCATACGAGAAACATGAATTGCAATCCTTTCTTTACACCACACACAAAAATTAACTAAAAATGTATCATAAACCAAATTACAAAACCTGAAGCTATAAAACTTCTAAAATAAAATAGAGGAAAATACTGCAACTTGTGGGGCTAGCCAGTTATATTTTTACAGATGACACAAAACATAATAACAAAAAATGAAAATTAGGTAAGTGAACTTGATCAAAATGTAAGACATTTGCTCTTTAGAGGAAATCATTTAGAAAATGGGAAACTAAGCCACAAATTTGGAGTAAATATTTATAATACATCTATCCATGGTGGCTCAGACAGTAAAGAATCTACCTGCATGTTGAAGACCCAGGTTTGATCCCTGGGTTGGGAAGATACCCTGGAGAAGGAAATGGCTACCCACTCCAGTATTCTTGACTGGAGAATTCCACAACAGAGGAGCCTAGTGGGCTATAGTCCATGGGGTCACAAAGAGTTGGAAATGACTGAGTAATATGTAAGTAAAGTGTAAGTAATACACTTTATCTGACCAAGGACTTGCATCTAGAAAATATAAAGGGCTTTTTAACTCAAGAAGTCAAATAATCCAGTTGAAAAATAGGGAAATATTTGTATAAATACTTTATAAAAGAAGATATACAAGTGGCCAATAAAAACATGAAAAAAAATCTCCAGCATTATTACTTTCAGGCAATTTGTGAGCTACCACACATATCTGTTAGAAAGGCTAACTGTGAAAATGCTGACAACACCAAGTGTTAGCAGGATGTAGAGCAACTGAAATTCTCATATTGCTGGTAGGAATGTAAAATGGTACAACTACTCAAAAAAATTGACAGTTTCTTAACAAGTTAAACATACACTTACCATTATGACCCAGCAATGCTACTCTTCGATATTCACCCAAAAGAAATAAAAATATATGTCCACTCAAAGACCTGGATACTAATAGTCAAAGCAGTTTTAGTCATAATATCCCCAACCTGAAAAAGTTGACTTAAAGCTCAACATTCAGAAAACTAAGATCATGGCATCCAGTCCCATCTCTTCATGGCGAATAGATGGGAAAACAGTGGAAACAGTGGTTGACTTTATTTTTGGGGGCTCCAAAATCACTGCAGATGGTGAGTGCAGCCATGAAATTAAAAGACGCTTACTCCTTGGAAGGAAAGTTATGACCAACCTAGACAGCATATTAAAAAGCAGAGACATTACTTTGCCAACAAAGGTCCGTCTAGTCAAGGCTATGGTTTTTCCAGTGGTCATGTATGGATGTGAGAGTTGGACTATAAAGAAAGCTGAGTGCTGAAGAATTGATGCTTTTGAACTGTGGTGTTGGAGAAGACTCTTGAGAGTCCCTTGGACTGCAAGAAGATCCAACCAGTCCATCCTAAAGGAGATCAGTCCTGGGTGTTCATTGGAAGGACTGATGTTGAAACTGAAACTCCAATACTTTGGCCACCTGATGCAAAGAGCAGAGGATGAGATGGTTGGATGACATCACTGACTCAATGGACATGAGTTTCGGTAAACTCCAGGAGTTGGTGATGGACAAGGAGGCCTGGCATGCTGCGGTTCATGGAGTCACAAAGAGTCGGACACAACAGAGCAACTGAACTGAACTGAAGACAATCTAAACATCCACTAAGAAAGTAATGGAAAACAAACTGCAGTAAAGACACATCGTGAAATACTACTAAGCAGTAAAAAGGAGTGAACAACAATGTAGATGAATCTCTAAACAATTATGCTGAATGAAATTAGCCAGACACAAAAGACTAGGTGCTATATAATTCCATTTATGTGAAACCTTAGAAAAGGAAAAACTTATCTAAACTGGGAAAAAATGGGAATGACTAGGAAGGGATAGTGGACAGTTTGAGAGTGACAGAAATGTTCTGTTTTGATTGTGGTGGTAGTTATGTGGGTAGGCATATTTGTTGAAATTCACCGAACTGTATGTGTACATAAAGAAAGGCATTATCTAAAATGTAAGTAAAAGTTATTTTAAAAAGAAAGAGAGTGTATGTAAGCAAGCTAAGGGTCAATGGAGTCAAATAGCCTAAACTAGACCAGCCATCAATAACACTCCATCAGATCATGCGACAATTTCAAGAAGGGGTACTCAGAGCCCACCTCAAATATTTCAATCTGGTGGCTCATGCTCACTGTGCAGAGAAATCTCTTCCCCAGAAGAGCAAAAGATCGAGAAAGGCGGAAGCCGAGGTGGAGGGACAGGCTGTTCTGAGCCCCTGGTTCTTGGCTCTTCCGTTTCCTAAGCACCACCCCCTCTCCACTGACAATTTTAGTTTAAGCTAGTTTGGTCACATTCCTGTCATCTGCCACCTGAAGAATTTTTATTGGAAAAGAACACTGAGCTTTGAAGAAAGCCAGTCGCCAATTCCAGCCTTGCCGCGGGCCAAGAGGGATGAAATGTTGGGGTGGAGTGGGCCGAGGACAGAGGAGAGGCAGCTCTCGCCTCTGCTTAGTAAACACAGAGCTTCCTGGGAGAGTGTCAGTGCCTGACACTGCCAGGCGAAGGGTGGAGAAGAACGAACAACACGAGCGCTGTTCACGGAGAACAGGGAGAGACCTAGAGGCTGCGCTATCATTTCCCGCGGCCATAGCTGGACCACAGCAGCAGCAACCCTTCCTCAGCCCCAGCAGAGCTCCCTCTGGTGGCCCTAGATGGCAGCAACTGGCCAGGGAGGCCCAGAAAGCACGGCTTGCATTTCCCGCCTTCTTCTGCCCAGCCCAGGTTACCCCTCCCCCCATGATAGATACGCTGCCTCAGAAACGACTTAAGACAACCTGAGACCTGACAGAACCAGCGCTGGGCGGAACCCAGTCGTTCAGCCTGGGAGGGCTTCCACCTGCAGGAGCTCAGTGACTTTGTGCTGTCACCTTCCTTACAATTACCCAACCAAGAGCCGCGCCCGTATCCCAACCCAGGACGGGCCCCCTTCATTTAAGTGCAGGATTTTTTCCAGTGATAACACATCTGTGCCTAGAGCTCTGCCCTTAGGCACATGACCTCACCTCATGTGCACAGCAACTGTGTTTGTTTTGAAAAAGTAATTTCTACTGAACTGAGGAGTGAATTAGCTTAGAGAGGGCAAGGGACCACTCAGAGTCACATGGCACTGAGTGGCGGGTGGATCTCATTCTAGGGTGGGTGTTTGTCCCCCATATTTGTCCACCTCTCCAGTGTATAGTAGGGATGGGAGGCATTGGACATTCAGTGCCGGAAATATCCTTCTGGTTAGACACTTGACAAGATTACCTCAGGGGCTTCAGCCCCTCTTATTAATAGTCTGTGAGTCCTGGGGGGGAAAGTCTGACCCCGTTTCCTCCACTCTAAATGGGATGAACAGCCTTCAGGCAAGGGGTCATGAACATTTTCCTTACTGGTCTACCTAGGTCATGACTAGCTTTGTGAGCCATACACTCTGCGCCAACTACTCAACCCTGCCTTAAAGCCTGAAAGCAGCTATTGTTGTTATTGTTCCGTCGCTGAGTCAGGTCTGACTCTTTGCGACTCTATGGACTGTAGCCTGCCAGGTTCCTCTGTCCATGGGATTTTCCCCTCAAGAATACTGGAGTGGGTTACCATTTCCTCCTCCAAGGGAATCTTCTCCACCCGGAAATCAAACCTGCGTAGCCTGCGCTGGCAGGAGAATTCTTTACCACTGGGCCACCTGGGAAGCCCCAAAGCAGCCGTGGATAGGACTTAACTGAGTGAGCCTGATCCTGTTGCAGTGAGGTGTTAGGTATGGACGCTGACGTTTGAATTTCATTTAATTCTCATGTGTCAAAACTATTTTTCTTTTTGTTTTCTTCCACCCACGTGAAGATGTAAAACCCATTCTTAGCTCAGTCTGCTGTATTATCAGGCGGCTGCCGGAATTTGGCCGGCGGGTCATAGGAGTTTGTGAACTCCTGTCCTAGCCTACAGGGTTTCTTCAAGGGCGACTGCCTGTCGGGTGTACTGATGCACCTCCGAGGGTGGAAGGCATTTTGCAGCCAGCCAGACTCGGCTACTTCGAAGCCGCCCTAGCCCAGGCAGTGTAGCGTCCCGCCGTGGCTGACCCTCTGCTGGTACCCGATCCCCATCCTAGGGGCAGCCCTCACCCAGCTTTCAGCGCGCACTCACCCAGGGCGGCCGCGCACAGCAGGGAGCAGACGAGCCTCATTCTCCTCGTCGGCGCGCGACACCTACCCGGCTCCCAGGGCCTCAACTAGCTGTACCTGCCCGCGAGGGGGCGGATCCGCCTCCTTCCAAAGGTTCGCTCTTCCGGCGGATCGCCCTCGCCACACCCCCATCCCTTGCGCCGGCATCTCACCAGCCGAGCCTGGGATGCATCTCGGCCCAGCGCCGGGAGCTGCGAGGCTGGATCTCCGCTCGCCAGCTAGAGGTCCGCACCAATATGTGCGAGCCGCAACAACCCCGGAGACCGCTGGAGAGACACACTGAGGCCCAAGGTGAGTGTGACCGCCTGGGCCCCAGGTTAGGTGCTAGATTGCAGGTTCCTTGACCTAGACAGCAGCTCTTGCGTGGCCCTCCCTTTCGGGACTGGGGCGGTAGACGAGGCGAAACCTGTGGATCCCTCCTCTGGGAAGGCATGTGCACACGTATATACAACATTTTGAACACAATTTTCAGAGTCCTCAGACTCTTCCTCCAGAGTCTCGGATGCCCACGCCGGGTCCCTCCCAGAAGTTTTCCAACCCCCAGCCCCCATAAAATGGTCTCCTGCAACCCTGTGCTGAAGACTGAGATCTGGTGAAGCGCAGGTTCAGACTGGGGAAGACTTCCTCCGGAAGTCTATGAGCTCTGCCTGGGGCAAGTCTTCCGAATTTAGAGAGAGTTTTAAAAACTTTGTCTTGAATGTAATAAACATACATGAAACGTCACATGTCCCAAGTATACAATGATGAATTATCACAAAGTGAGCACAAGCATATAACACAAGAAAAGGAACGTTAATAGGGTGGGGGTGCCCCTCCTCCAGCTACTTCCCATCTTCCCACAAGCGTATCCGTTATCTTGACTTTTAGCAACACAGACTAATTCTGCTGATTGTTTAACTTTACAGACATAGAATCATACCATATGTACAATGTTGCATCTGGCTTATTTCATTCAAGGTTATATTTGTAAGATTCATCTACCTTGCTGTTGATGCACAATTCGAGGCTTGGTGTTGCCTCAGTTCAGTTCAGCTCAGTTCAGTCGCTCAGTCCTGTTTGATTCTTTGTAACCTCATGGACTGCAGCACACCAACTCCCAGAACTTGCTCAGACTCATGTCCATTGAGTCCGTGATGCCACCCAACCATCTCATCCTTTGTCATTCCTTTCTCTTGCCTTCAATCTTTCCAGGATCAGGGTCTTTTCCAAAGAATCAGTTCTTCCCATCAGGTGACCAAAGTATTGGAGCTTCAGCTTCAGCATCAGTCCTTCCAGTGAATATTCAGGACTGATTTCCTTTAGGATGAACTGGTTTGATCATCTTGCAGTCCAAAGGACTCTCAAGAGTCTTCTTCAACACCATAGCTCAAAAGCATCAATTCTTCAGCACTCAGCTTTCTTTATGGTCCAACTCTCACATCGATACATGACTACTGGAAAAACCATAGCTTTGACTAGACAGATCGTTGTCGACAAAATAATGTCTCTTCTTTTTAATATGCTGTCCAGATTTTTCATAGATTTTCTTCCAAGGAGCAAGCGTCTTTTAATTTCATGGCTGCAGTCACCATCTGCAGTGATTTTGGAGCCCAAGGAAATAAAGTCTCTCACTGTTTCCATTGTTTCCCCATCTATTTGCCATGAAGTGATGGGACTGGATGCTATGATCGTAGTTTTTTGAATGTTGAGTTTTAAGCCAGTTTTTTCATTCTCCTCAAGAGGCTCTTCAGTTCCTCTTTGCTTTCTACCATAAGTGTGGTGTCATCTGCATATCCGAGGTTTTTGATAGTTCTCCTGGCTATCTTGATTCCAGCTTGTGCTTCATCCAGCCTGGCATTTCTCATGATGTAATCTGCATATAAGTCAAACAAGAAGGGTAACAATATACAGCCTTGATGTACTCCTTTTGAAATTTGGAACCAGTCCATTGTTCCATGTCCGGTTCTAACTGTTGCTTATTGACTTGCATACAGATTTCTCAGGAGACAGATAAGACAGTTTGGTATTCCCATCTCTTGAAGAATTTTCCACAGTTTGTTGTGATCCACACAGTCAAAGGTTTTGGCATAGTCAATGAAGCAGAAGTAGATGTTTTTTTCTGGAATTCTCTTGCTTTTTGTATTATCCAATGGATGTTGGCAATTTGATCTCTGGTTCCTCTGCCTTTTCTAATTCCAGCTTGAGCACCTGAAGTTTCTCAGTTCACATACTGTTGAAGCTTTGCTTAGAGAATTTTGAGCATTACTTTGCTAGCCTGTGAGATGAGTGCAATTGTGCAGTCATTTGAGCATTCTTTGGCATTGCCTTTCTTTGGGATTGGAATGAAAACTGACCTTTTCCAGTCCTGTGGCCACTGCTGAGTTTTCCAAATTTGCTGGCATATTGAGTGCAGCACTTTCACAGCATCATCTTTTAGGATTTGAAATAGCTCAACTGGAATTCCATCACCTCCACTAGCTTTGTTCGTAGTGATGCTTCCTAAGGCCCACTTGACTTCACATTCCAGGATGTCTGGCTCCAGGTGTGAGTGATCACACCATTGTGATTATCTGGATTGTGAAGATCTTTTTTGTACAGTTCTTCTATGTATTCTTGCTACCTCTTCTTAATATCTTCTGCTTCTGTTAGGTCCATACCATTTCTGTCCTTTATTGAACCCATCTTTGCATGAAATGTTCCCTTGGTATCTCTAATTTTCTTGAAGAGATCTCTAGTCTTTCCCATTCTGTTGTTTTCCTCTATTTCTTTGCACTGATCACTGAGGAAGGCTTTCTTCTCTCTCCTTGCTCTTCTTTGGAACTCTGCATTCAAATGGGTATATCTCTGGGTTACTCTCCTTTCCCAGAAACTTGGCACCTCTAATGTCTAATGCTGTTAAATAGATGTTTTCTGGGGCTTTATCCACATCTGGATGTGCTCAACAAGAGCCCAGTTCTTATACAGGCTACTTCAACATGACAGAAACACAAACGAGGGTGACTACTAATTTTTAATCTTTATTTTTTTAAGATTCTAGCATATTGTTAACTGAATGAATGAATTTTTACAGGTTATTGTGCTCATTTACAACTGTCCCAACTTCTCGTTTATTCATACCTTTGAAAAGAGATATGGTCTAACATTTTTCTTGTTTTACATGCTAACCCTAAGTTGGAAAATAGTGTCTGGTGTAAGGCTCAAAAAATTGTCAAATAGGTGAATAAATGCACATAAAGGATTATCTCAAAAGTAGGTTGAGCAATCTTCTCTGTAGGTCAGTGGGCAAAAACTAAATAGGGTCAAGAGATGAGCATTGCTTTTCAGGTTAATGATCTGCGTAAAGCTAACACAGCCTAAAACCAGTAGCCCAAGATACCCACTGACCTCTGAGTGGAGTAAACTCTGGAAAATTCCTATTTATTTGTAACCAAGTCATATTGCAAAGGAAGGACATCCATAGTCCTAAAGCCATCTCTGTTGCTTTGACATGATCATAACAGCAGAACAGTTTAGCTTGTATTGTAGGAAACAATGCAAAGACTTCATTATGGCCTTTGGAAAATTAGGAATTTGTAAATTTATCATAACTGTGTGCCAGGCACTAAGCCAAGTGTTTTTCAAATATTAATTTATAGTAACCTCGTAAGTTAGTTACTATTGTCATTCCCATTTCATACAGGAAGAAAGTGAAGCACCAAGAGGTTAAGTAGCTTGCCCGAGATCAGATAGTCAGTACGTGTCAGAGCCAGCATTCAAACTAGGCAGCATGCTTCCAAGTCCATGCTCTTCCCCATGTGACCTCTGGCATTTATCTCTGAACCTATTTCACTTTTTCCTCTTTCCAAGGGTCTTTCAGATAATAAAAACAGTTTTTTAAATGGTAACACATTTGTTTAAATTCTGGCAACTTCAGAATTGATTAGGTTGGTACTAGTTGGCATAACAGATGAAACTCCAAATCTCAATGGTTTAACATAATGGAAGTTGGCTTCCTGCTAATATAAAGCCCAGTTGGAATCAGAGGTCTTATTTTGTTGGAGAGGCAGGGGTGGGGTGGGGGGTCCACCTTCATAGCTTTGGTTAGTCAATCAGAGATACAGGCTAAGAGATGCTCTGCCAGTTTCAACATGTGGTTTCCAAGACTGCCTTGTGTGTTGACACCTAGAATAACGAAGTGTGGGAGGTACAAGAGGTTTCCATGAACCAGGTCTGGAAGTGCTATACATCACTTCTATTTATATTTTATTGACTATAACTCAGTCACATGACCCCACCGAGATACAGACAGGATGGGAACTGGAATCCCTGGCTCAGCAACTTTGTAAATTTATCATAACTGTGTGCCCTGGCCCAGCAACAACATACACTATCAAAGAGGTCACATGTCTTCAAGATAGTCAGTACGTGTCAGAGCCAGCATTCAAACTAGGCAGCATGCTTCCAAGTCCATGCTCTTCCCCATGTGACCTCTGGCATTTATCTCTGAACCTATTTCACTTTTTCCTCTTTCCAAGGGTCTTTCAGATAATAAAAACAGTTTTTTAAATGGTAACACATTTGTTTAAATTCTGGCAACTTCAGAATTGATTAGGTTGGTACTAGTTGGCATAACAGATGAAACTCCAAATCTCAATGGTTTAACATAATGGAAGTTGGCTTCCTGCTAATATAAAGCCCAGTTGGAATCAGAGGTCTTATTTTGTTGGAGAGGCAGGGGTGGGGTGGGGGGTCCACCTTCATAGCTTTGGTTAGTCAATCAGAGATACAGGCTAAGAGATGCTCTGCCAGTTTCAACATGTAGTTTCCAAGACTGCCTTGTGTGTTGACACCTAGAATAACAAAGTGTGGGAGGTACAAGAGGTTTCCATGAACCAGGTCTGGAAGTGCTATACATCACTTCTATTTATATTTTATTGACTAAAACTCAGTCACATGACCCCACCAAGATACAGACAGGATGGGAACTGGAATCCCTGGCTCAGCAACTTTGTAAATTTATCATAACTGTGTGCCCTGGCCCAGCAACAACATACACTATCAAAGAGGTCACATGTCTTCTATCTTTTGTCTTAGTTTGTATTTCCCCAGAAAACAC